ACAAAGAAGATTCACAGAGAACAAAAATCATTGAATGCATAAATCACGGGGTGGTGTCAGAGACTGGAACAGTTAATGATTTCTGCATTCTAAGAGACTTCTGCAGGCTTTTGACTTTCTGATGGGCAGCTGGGCCCATCCCCCTCCTCCAGTGCAGAAGATGTCAAGCCCCCAAAAGGCGGGAAGAGCCGAGTTTACCACGCCCTCCACATGAACTCCGCGCCAAAAAGGGGGACACCCCCCTATGGAAACAACTCCCCACCTTGGGGAGGTGCAAAGGATATGGATATTGACTGGTGACTTTGGGGGTTTGGGGGGGATTTTTCCTTCTTCTCCCCCCACCGCCTGTGGATCCAGACCATTGCTTTTTACATGGCTGGATCCAGTGGGCGGTGACTATTTACGTTTTTACCACTCTCATCTTTTCCTTTTTCTTGCTCTCCCTTACTCTTACCCTGTCTTTCTCTCCCCTATGCATTTTTCTCCTCCCCCGAAAGGTTGGCCTTGTTATATGACAGCCCCCAAAATGCTGGCACACCTGTTGATACAAAATTGTTCAAATAAACCTTGTCAATATGTTTTCAGACACCGATTATTCAGTGTCGTTTCACTTTAATCCACCCCAAGAGAATTATTGATAAAACCTGAGTTACCCCCCCGCCTTTTTCCTGGGGGGGGGTCGTAACAGTCACTGCTGTCCCTGTGATGTCACTGCTGTGACTGTGATGTCACCGATGTCCCTGTGATTTCACTGTCGTCCCTGTGATGTCACCGATGTCCCTGTGATGTCACCGTTGTCCCTGTGATGTCACTGCTGTCCCTGTGATGTCACTGCTGTGCTTGTGATGTCACCGTTGACTCTGTGATGTCACCACTGTCTTTGTGATGTCACCGTTGTCTTTGTGATGTCATCGATATACCTGTGATGTCACTGATGTGTCTGTGATGTCATCGCTCTCTCTGTGATGTCATTTCTGTCCCTGTGATGTCATTGCTGTCCCTGTGACATCACTGCTGTCTTTGTGATGTCACCGGTGTCTCTGTGATGTCACCACTGTGTCTGTGATGTCACCAGTGTCCTTGTCATGTCACCAATGTCTCTGTGATATCACAGTTGTGTCGATGATGTCACTACTGCATCTGTGATGTCACTGATTTCCCTGTGATGTCACCAATGTCCCTGTGATGTCACCGCTATCCCTGTGATGTCACCAATGTCCCTGTGATGTCACCGCTATCCCTGTGATGTCACCAATGTCTCTGTGATGTCACTGCTGTCCCTGTGATGTCACCAATGTGTCTGTGATGTCACCGCTGTCCCTGTGATGTCACTGCTCTCTCTGTGATGTCAGCGATGTCCCTCCAACCAGACTGCAACCACCACTTTTCAATCAGACTGTGACCACCACTGTCAACCAGACTGCAGATCACCACTCTCAACCAAACTGCAACCACCACTCTTGACCAGACTTCACCACCAGTCTCACCAACAGGGTTTTTTTCCCTCTCCCTTTACTTTGGGCTCAGGGGGCCCAACAAACACCACTCTGTTCATGCCCCAGGGTGCTGGGTTAGACATTTGGGTTTTGTGGGTTAAAACCAATTGTTTGTCTGTATAATCAGACTTAAAGTATTATTTTATTAAATTATTATTCTCACTTAAAATCTCTCTTTTGAGTTGACTTCATTTCCCCTGCTGGTTTACTTTTAAACCAGCACAATCAGACTGCTGAAATTACCGGGGTATTACTCTGCTCCCCATTGCTGGCAAAATCCTGGCAAGAATACTCTTGAACAGACTAAAACCCACTATAGCAGAAGGAATTCTCCCTGAAAGCCAATGTGGTTTCAGAGCCAACAGGAGCCCCACAGACATGGGATTTGTTCTCAGACAACTGCAAGAGAAGTGCAGGGAACAGAACAAAGGTCTCTATGGAACCTTTGTTGACCTCACCAAGGTTTTCAATACTGTGAGCAGGAAAGGTGTGTGGCAGATTTTGGAACGTTTAGGTTGTCCCCCCAAGTTCCTCAAAGAGATCATCTCACTCCATGAGGATCAGCACGGCCAAGTCAGATATGGCAATGCACTTTCTGAGCCCTTTCTAATAACCAATGGTGTGAAACAAGGCTGCGTTCTCGCACCAACCCTATTCACAATCTTTTCCAGCAGGATGCTCCAAAGGGCCACGGCAGACCTCGATGATCAGGACGGGATCTACATCCGATATCGTACTGATGGAAGCCCTTTCAACCTAAGGCGACTGAAGGCCCACACCAAGACCTTAAACCATCTTGTCCAGGAGCTGCTTTATGCTGATGACGCCGCCCTTGTTGCCCACACAGAAGCAGCTCTGCAGCGTTTGACATCCTGCTTTGCTGAGGCTGCTGAGCTCTTTGGGCTGGAAGTCAGCTTAGAGAAGACAGAAGTTCTCCATCAACCTGCACCTCAGGAAGTCCCCCATCATCCCCACACCACCATTGGCCAATCAGAGCTCAAATCAGTCCAGCAGTTTAATTACCTAGGGAGCCTCATCTCCTCGGATGGTGAGATTGACAGAGAGATGGACAACAGGTTAGCAAAGGCATAGAGAGCTTTTGGAAAACTCCATAAAAGAGTTTGGCGAAATAAACACTTGAAGAAAAGCACAAAGATTGGTGTTTACAGAGCCATTGTGCTGTCTACTCTCTTATATGGGTCCGAATCCTGGGTCATCTACAGCCACCACCTGCGACTCCTGGAACGCTTCCATCAACGCTGCCTCCGCACAATCCTAAACATCCACTGCTCAGATGATGGGACCAATCCATCTGTTCTAGAACAGGCAGCAGTCACAAGCATTGAGGCCATGTTGCTGAGAACACAGCTGTGCTGGGCAGGGCACGTCTCCAGGATGAAGGACCAACCACCCCCTCCCTAAGATCGTGCTCTGTGGTGAACTTGCCACCGGCTGCCGCAAGAGAGGAGCCCCGAAGAGGAGATACAAGGACTGCCTGAAACAACATCTCAGCCTTGGCCATATTGATCTCCATCACTGGTCTACTCTGGCCTCCAGCCGGGAGGTCTGGAGACACCCCATCTCTAACGCTGCTGCTGCCTTTGAGAACGCAGCAGGATCACCATCGAGGAGAAAAGACAACGCAGAAAGAACCGTGTCCTGTCCATCCCATCCAAGGAGTCTTTCTGCTCTGCCTTTTGCAACTGGACGTGTCTATCTCGTATTGGCCTCTTTAGCCACCAGTGTGCTTGTAGCAAATGTGGGCAGAGCCCTTCCCAAATCTTCATTCACAAAGCCCAGCCATGATTTTGGATATTAATTTGGGAGTCTGGACTCATTGGTTTATTTGGTTCTGGAACTGGTATTTGGTTTATTTGGTTTTGGAAACAGGTATTTGATTTATTTTGTATTATGGGTACTTCAGGTTGCAAAGAAAGAATCTTGAAGAAATCCTTTCTGGTATTTTGGATATTAACTTGTGATTTCTGGACTTATAAGTTGATTTGGTTTTGGAAACTGGTATTTGGTTTATTTTGTATTCTTGAACCATTGGAAACAAATTGTGACCCCTTTGGAGGGACAAAGCTGTTGATGCCCCCAGGGGTTCCAGGACCCTGAGGATTCCACTGCCCACTGAAAGTGTTATTCAGGGAGATCCTCTCAGTCTCTGGATGCGGGGAGTTCCAAGCAGGATCCCTGGGATTTTATTAAGGCATTAAAAGGTTTATAAAAGTTATATAAATATATATAAAAGGTGTACCTACCCAACATAGAAATGGAGCTCTATAATATAATACGATTGACCTATAAAAAGTTGTGCTAGAACTGTAAAAGAAGAGGTGTGATGCCTCAGAGCTTTTTGGATTTTTTAACTTTGGTAGATTTTAGAAGTAGTGGTGTAGTGATTGCAGATTTTAATGTAGCTGCATTCTATCCCTTACCCTGTAGCATAATGTTTGCACATCCCCAACCCTGTTACCCCATCTCATATCAATCCCTCTAAATCCCTTTAGCGTGTTTAGTCTTCTTTTCAAGGTAGAATTGCAGAAAAGCCTGGACCAGAAGACATCACACAGACACAACCACCTTCAAGCCCAGAACTTTGGAGGAGCTCCAAGGACTGTGGGTGCTGCGAAGAAGATGATGCTGAGGAAGAAGGGGTCCCAAAGACCCCAAAGCCAATTCCCAAAGGGGCGTGTCGGGGGCAGAACAGGGCAGAAGTGGGGGGTGGAGAGATCTGGGGTTGGATGGACCTTGTTATAAAATCCCAGAGCCACTGCCTGGGGGGTGCACGTGGTGTGTGTTCCCCTGGCCTGAGGCTCCACTAAAGGACCTGCTCTCTTTATCTCATCTCATCCACAACCCTGGCCTGGAGTCTTTTCCTCCACGCTCTCTTGAAGCAACGGGGACTGGACCCACCAGGTGCTGGGGATGCTGGAAATTCCCCCCGGTGCCGGGTGGAGCACGTCAGCCTGGAGCACCCCCTCAGCCAGGACTGGGGTACGGCCCGGCCCCCCCAGCACCGGGGGCACACTGGGAGGGGGCTGAGGGGCTCTGGGGGCCTTGGGGGGAACTGGTTGGGAGTTTGGGGGGTAAGGGAAAGGGTCTGGGGGGGGATGGAGAGGCTGAGAAGGAGGTTTGTTGGGTGGCTTGCGAGGTCGCTCCGCTGAGGGGGCTTTGGGGAGTCTGGGGGCAACTGGGAGGCGAGTTTTGTGGGACGCGTTTCAGGAGGGAGCGGCTTTGGGGGAAATGGAAAGGCTGAGAAGTGGATTTGGAGGGTCCTTGGATGGGCTGAGGGTACCCAGCCTGGAACCCCCCAATCCATCCCCGTGGCTAATTTTGGGCGGGGTCGTGTGTCCGCCCTCGTACCCTCTTTCTGGTTCTCGAGTTGCACATACGAGCCGACTGCTCCCGGTGTTCCGCAGCTAAAGCTTCCCAATTCTCTGGCACTCCCTGGATGGCCTCATTTTCGTGGGCCCTGAGCTACCCCCCTCCCCGCCGTAGACCGCAGCCCACGGACCCCCGAACCCCCCAGCCCCGGGGCTGCGCGGGGGCCCTCCAACGGCCCTCAGCAATCCAAAGCGCCCACGCCGCCCGCGCCCATCCCAGCGCGCCGCGCTGATGACTCATCAGTCGGCCGGGAAGACGCCTCGAAAAAAGGGCCGCGCGACTTGCGCCCTCAGCCAAGCCAAGCGGCGCCCCAAACCCCCAAAACGGCACGCCGCGCGGGCTGGTTTGGGGGCTGTCAGGGCAGCTGTCCGGCGGCTGGGCATGGAGCGTGGTGCGGGGAGCGCTGGGGGCCGTGCTGGCGGTCGCTGGATGGTGCTGGGAGCCGCCCCGCGGCTGCGGGCGAGGAGCTGTGGGTAGCGGGGGGGGGGGTCGGGTGGGAAAGGGGGGGAAAAGAGGGGAGGAAAGAGGGGGTGGGGAGCCCCAAAAAGTGAGTGGAGGGGGTTGGAAGGCCCGGAGTGAGTGGGAGGGGGGTGGGAGCCCCAAAGTGAGGGCGGGGGGGTCTGGGGATTGTGGGGCCGGTGGGAAAGGGGTGGGAGAGGGGGGCAAAGGGGTGTGGGAGAGCAGGCAGAGGGGTGCCCTGGGGGTTCCTGGGTGTCCATCGAGCCCTGGAGCGGTTCTCTGGGGTTCTGGGGGGGTCGGATCCACAGTGGGGGGGTCCCCAATCCCCCTGTCCATCCCCGGGGGGCTGATGGGGGGGTTCTCCCCCAGCCAAGAGCCGGTGCTGGGGCGTCCATGGGGTAGAGGGGGTGAGAAAGGGGGGTCCGGGGTGGCCCCCTGAGCTCCCAGCCTGTTGTGGGGGGCTGGGGGATGATGGGGGGGACGAGGCATCCCCTGACCCGTGTCCTGCACACAGAGGGGTGTTCCAGTGGATGGGAAAGGCTGAGTGTCACTTCATCAGCGGCACCGAGTGGGTGAGGTACGTGCAGAGGTACATCTACAACCGGGAGCAGTACGCCCACTTCGACAGCGATGTGGGGGTCTTTGTGGGGGACACCCCGTATGGAGAATTCTGGGCCAGGCAATGGAACAACAACCCCGAAATTCTGGAGTACGAACGGGGTGAAGTGGACAGGCTCTGCCGGCACAACTACAAACTTGGTGCTCCGTTCAGAGTGCAGAGGAGAGGTGAGCGTGGGGCAGAGCGGATCCCCTCAGCCCCTGCCCCAGGAATGACCCTGGAGCCCCTCATGCCCTCCCTGGAAATCACCCCAGACCCCTCAGCCCTCCCTGTGCCCTTCCCTTGGCCTTTTACCCCTTCCCAGTTCTTTCCTGTCTCTCCCAGTCCTTCCAATGCCCCCTAGTCTCTCTCAGTCCATTCCACTTTTTTAAAGTCCATCCCAGTCCATCCCAGTCTCTCCCAGTGCCCCCCCGCGTCTCCACCCCGCTGGGGCCACCGAGCTCCCGCCCCTCAGCCAATCCCAGCGCGTCTTTCTGATGACGCTCCAGTTGCCAGGCAGACCCAAACCAAAGACTTCCCTCACCACGACTCAGCCTCCCAGTCCGGATCGCTTCCTTCCCAGTCCAGCCCAGCCTTTCCCAGTACATCCCAGTCCTTCCCAGACCCTCTCACTCCACTCCCAGACCTTCCCGATCCATTCCCAGACCCTCTCAGTCCATTCCCAGTCGTTCTCACTTCACTCCCAGACCTCCCAACGCTCTCCCCAGTGCCCCCCCAGCGCAGCCCCTTCTCCCCCACTCTATTCCCAGTCCCTCCCACTGCCATCCCAGTCCCTCCCACTGCCATCTCAATCCCTACCAATGTCCTCCAAGCCCTCTCCCCTCCCTCCCAGTGCCCCCCAGCTCAGCCCAGTGTCTCCCCCGTCCCTCCCAGTGCCCCCCAGCGTGTCCATCTCGCTGGTGCCGTCGAGCTCCCAGCCCGGCCCCGGCCGCCTGCTCTGCTCCGGGATGGATTTCTACCCTGCGCCGGTGCAGGTGAGGTGGTTCCAGGATGGGCAGGAGCTGCCGGAGCACGTGGTGGCCACCGACGTGGTCCCCAACGGGGACTGGACCTACCAGGTGCTGGTGCTGCTGGAAATCCCCCCCCGGCGCGGGGTCACCTACAGCTGCCAGGTGGAGCACGTCAGCCTGGAGCACCCCCTCAGCCGGCACTGGGGTACGGCCCGGCCCCCCCAGCACCGGGGGCACACTGGCAGGGGGGCTGGGGGGGAAAGGGGGCGACTGGGGGCGACTGGGAGGAAGTCTGGGGGGGAATGGGAAGGGTTTGGGGGGCAATGGAGAGGCTGAGAAGGAGGTTGTGGGTGCTGGGAGGGCTGAGAGGGGCCTTGGGGAGTCTTGGGGGCAACTGGGAGGGAGTTTTCAGGAGTGGTCTGGAAAGGCTGGAAGGAACCTTGTGAGGTCTTGGGTTGACTGGGAGGGGTTCAGAGAAGTCTTAAGGGGGCTGGGAAGGGACTGGGAAGGGTTTCAGGGGGGCCCTGGCGGTGATGGGAGGGATTGGGAGGGTCCTAAAGGGGATGGGGGGGCTTTTTGGGATCCCAGAGGAACTGGGAAGGGACTGGCAGGAGATTTCAGGGAGTCCTCGGTGGGCTGGGAGAGACTAAGATGGTGTTTGTGGGGTCCTGGGTTGTCTCTGGGAGGTTTTGGGGGTGCTGACCCCCCCGGCTCCCCCCAGAGATGCCACCGGACACCGTCCGCAGCAAGATCCTGGTGGGGGTCGGGGGCTTCGTCTTGGGCTTGGTCTTCCTGGCGCTGGGGCTCGGCTTCTACCTGCGGGAGAAGGTAAAGGGGGGTCCCCAAATGGGGGTCGTGTCCCCACCTTTCCCAGAGCTTGTGGGCCCCCCCTGTCCCCCCAACCCCTTTGTTCTCACCCCCTTTTCTCTCCCCACAGAGCTCCTGAGCCGCTGGCGGCCGCAACCCCTCCTCGTGGCCCTGGGACCCCCCCAGTCCATCCCCACGCTGAGTTTGGGGGGTCGTGTGTCCCCCCCATCCCTGCTTTTATTCTGACCCCAGCCAGCTGCTCCCAGTGTTCCCAGTAAAGCTTCCCAGTTCTCCCCAGTCCCTGTTACTGGGGGGCAGTGAGGGCAGGGGGGAGGGGATCCCTGTCATAGCTTTACTTGTTCTGAAAAACCAAGCAGGAATTTTTCTTTGCCCTGCCCCACTGGAAAAGAAAGATGTTGAATGGGGGAGGGGGCTTTGCCTTGGGTGACTCACACCCACAAAGGAACTGGCCCAGCCCACATTGCAGGTTGGGAGCCCTCAGAAGGCTGGGGGGGGTGGAGTTTTTTGCTTTCTCCTGGGCAAAGGGCAAGGCCCTTCACTTTGGCCTTAGCTCAGGCAAGGGCTGTGTTGGAGAGGCTCCGAGGTCCTTTTGTTCTCGGCCTGCTCATCTGGCTGTTTGCTGGTTCCCGTTTGCCTTCGTTTCCTGCGCCCTGTTCTGCCCCCAGCCCAGACCTGCTCGGACTTCATGGGACAGGTTTGACCCCCCTCCAGAGGAACCTTTTGGGGAGGAGGTCGCCCTTTCCCTCCTCCGCTCCCGTGTTGGCAGTGGCGTGTGTTCATCGGCCAAAAGGGGGAATTCCCGGCCACAGCCAGCCACAGACAGCGGGAGATTCGTGGGAAGAGCCCCTTTTTCCCCTTTTCCACTTTTTCCCCTTTTTGTTGTTCTGCCAATACACAGATATCCTTTAAGAAAGCTGTTATTTTTCCTTTCTCCATACTTCCTCAACTGGAATCTCCTAATTTCCGATTTACAATTCCTTACAGGGAGGAGTTTGGTTTTCCTCATAACTCATCCCCCTCAGCAAAACACTTCAGTCTCATTCAGCTGACACAGAGGTGCTGCCCCATGCTCCTGCCCTTGCCATTGCACATCCCCACATCCCAGAGCCCCAGCAAGAGCCCTGAGGAATGGGGCAGGCACAGGATCTCCCTTCCCAGGGCTGGGGGTCAGACCTTGGCCCTTTGCAAGAACAAAACAAAGCCAGATTTATTCAGCATCACAGACCCCGGGACTTTGCTTGTCCCCACCTGTCATCACTGCCCCCAGTTTTCAGCTCTAACTGGAAGCAGGGGACAATTTCTGAGTGCTGGCCCTCAGTGGGACTCATTAATACCAGGAGAAACTGTGGACTTGGATCTGACTTGGAATTCTTCAGGGGTTTCTTTAACTTGTCTTTGTCTGATGTTCAGGGACTCATCCCCAACTCCCGAGGGTCATTCAGTGCCTGGGGCTGTGTCTGTGCTGCTGAGCTGGGCTGGGCTCCTGGCTGAGTTGAACAAAGTTCCCCCAAGAAATCCAAAGAATTTGGAGGAGATTGTAAAGCAGCAGAGGATTGACTCAAGGCAGCCCTGCCCTGACTGTGCTGCCTCTCCTGTCCCCTCCCCAGCTCTCTCCTCTCTGCTGGGCAGGCAGGAACAGGCTCCCCCCAGACACTGCCCAGCCCTGGGGGGACAGCTGAGTGCTGGGAGGGCAGCCCTGGATGGCAACAGCTCCTCAGGAAGGCAGGAAGGAAGGGCAGGAGCTGGCCAGGAGCTCTGGGCAAAGGGCAGACTGGGCTGCACAGAACCTTGCCTTGGAGGAAGCCTCGTGCTCCCAGGGCTCCAAGAACACAGGGATTGCCACCCCACACTCTGCTGGGAGGGCAGCAGGGCTGGGCACAGAGCAACCCAGGGGGACCTGGAGAGCCCTGGGGACAACATTTCCACACAGATGGTGCAGGGGCTGACTAAGACTCCTTTGTTACAGACAAGGGGCAAGTCCAACAGCCCCGGCATGTGGGCAAAGGAATTCATCTGAGTCATTTGGGCTCAGGAGAGGACATTTTTGGCCTTCTTGGTGAATCCGAAAAATCGGTCCGAGAAACTGCTCAGAGACTTTTTTATCTTTAAGCAGCAAGGTATTTGTTTATTCAACGTTGGGAGCAAGCCAGGTGGCGCTGGACAAACTTGCTCGAAGGCTTCACACAAAATCAGCATTTTTATCCAATCTTCAGCTGGGATTAAATGCATATTCAAGTGATTACAACATCTATCGATGCATATTAATAACAGGCGGAGTAGAGGTGGAGCTCAGGCGGGGCTTGGGGCGGTGTTTCTCTTGGCCCTCAATCCTGAGGGTACTTCCACTCTTCCTCCATGGCTCTGGGGGCTTCAACTCATCTTCCTCAGCTTGACCTTCCTTCTCTTCCATTGGTCTTGACCCGCTCACTGAAGCTTGGAAAAAGCCCTGGCTCCCGGCCTATTCCTCCTATTCCAATGTCTCCCTGATCCTGCTGTCTCTCTAATTTATCCCCTCGAGGCCTAGGACATGTTCCTGTACTATTCTCTGAAGCTTTGCTCCAGTCAGTAGAACAGAACGAGCACAGATGGTCTTGGATGTTGGTAGCTTGTTAGCAGGCCCCAATTTCTTAGTTAACTCTTTTGGGCCTGGCCTCCTGTTTCCCCAGGGACACAGCCCGGGCCCGGCTGTTCCCATTCCCATTCCACGGGTTTGCATTCCTGTTCCAGGTGTTCCCATCCCATTCTAGTTGTTCCCATCCCATTCCAGGTGTCCCCATTCCCATTTCAGGAGTTCCCATTCCCATTCAAAGTGTTCCCATTCCCATTCCATATGTTCCAATTCCCTTTCCAGGTGTTCCATCCCATTCTAGGTGTCCCCATTCCCATTCCTATTGTCCGTCCTCCCATTCCTGGTGTTCCCATCCCACTTCTGTTTTCCCCATGCCCAGTTCTTGGTGTTCCCATTTATATTCCAGGTGTCTCCATTCCCATTCCTATTGTCCCCATTCCCATTCCAGGTGTTCCCATCCCACCTCTGTTTTCGCTATTCCCATTCCAGGTGTCTCCATTCACATTCCAGGTGTCCCCATTCCAATTCCTGGTGTCCCCAGTCTACTCCCAATGTTCCCATTCCCATTCCAGGTGTCCCCATTCCAATCCCAGGTGATCCCATTCCTGGTGTCCCCAACCTGCTCCCGATGTTCCCATTCCCATTCCCAATGTTCCCATTCCCAGCCCAGGTGTCCCCATTCCCATTCCTGATGTCCCCATTCCCATTCCTGCTGCCCCCATTCCCATTCCAGGTGTTTCCATTCCCATTCCTGCTGTCCCCATTCCCATTCCTGGTGTCCCCATTCCCATTCCAGGTGTTCCCATTCCCATTACTGGTGTTCCAATTCCAGTTGTCCCCATTTCCATTCCCGGTGTCCCCATTTCCATTCCAGGTGTTTCCATTCCCATTCCTGGTGTCTCCATTCCCATTCCAGGTGTTCCCATTCCAGGTGTCTCCATTCCAATTCCAGATGTTGCCATTCCTGGTGTCCCCATTTCCATTCCAGGTGTTCCCATTCCCATTCCAGGTGTTCCTTCCCCGTTCCACGTGTCCCCATTCCCATTCCTGCTGCCCCCATTCCCATTCCTAGTGTCCCCAATCTGCTCCCAATGTCCCAATTCCCATTCCAGGTGTTCCCATTCCCATTCCTGGTGTTCCCATCCCATTGCTATTGTCCCCATCCCATTCCTGATGTCCCCATTCCCATTCCAGACATTCTCATTCCCATTCCTTGTGTTCCATCCCATTCTAGGTGTCACCGCTGTCATTTCCCCTGCTGGTTTACCTTTAAACCAGCACACCAGGGCTGTGCCCAACGGGGGTCCCTGTGGATCATCCAACGCGGGTCCTCCCATGGCTGATGGAGTTGGAGCAGCGGCCGAAGCTCTTCCCGCAGTCGGGGCACTCGGGGCTTCTCTTACCGGTGGGTCCGTTGGTGGGAGGTCAAGGCAGAGCTGTCCCTGAAGCTCTTCCCACACTCCCCACACTTGTGAGGCCTCTCCCTGATGTGGATGCGACGGTGGGTGTAGAGGGTGGAGCTGTCCCACATTCCCTACACGTGTAGGGCTGTTCCCCAGTGGGGATGTGCTGGTGGCTGAGCAGCTTGGTGCTTGTGCTGAAGCTCTTCCCACATTCCAAGCACTTGTAGGGCCATTCCCTGGTGTGGATGCAACAGTGTTTGCAAAAGCTGGAGCTGTCCCTGAAGCTCTTCCCACACTCCGCACACGTGTAGGGCCGTTCCCCACTGTGGATCATCTGGTGGCGGAGCAGGTGGAGCTCTGTTTGAAGCTTTTCCCACACTCCCCACACGTGTAGGGCCGTTCCCCACTGTGGATGCGACGGTGGGTGCGGAGGTTGGCGCTCTGCCTGAAGCTCTTCCCACACTCCCCACACGTGTAGGGCCGTTCCCCACTGTGGATGTGCTGGTGCCTCAGGAGGTCGGTTCTCTTGCTGAAGCTCTTCCCACATTCCAAGCACCTGAAGGGTTTCTCCCTGCTGGGAGGCTGCTCAGGGACCACCAGCTCGCAGCTCCGCCTCAAGCTCCGGCCGCCTTCCCGGCACACGCTGGCTCTTTCCTCCTCACAGCCCCCTGGGCTGGCTTTGGAGCCCCTCCTGCGGGGGCATCTCCGGCCCTTTTCCTCCCCGCTGCCTTCCTGCGCCGGGGAGCCCTTCAAAACGGCCTCTCCCACCAGGCTCTGCCGGGGGGATTTGTCCTCCGCGCTCTCCGGCCTCACCTCGGGGCCTGGGGCAGGAACCAACAAGGACACGCAGGGGATTTGCCTCCGGCCCACAGGGAAGCCCAAGGACATCCCCCCAACTCCGGCCCCGGCAGGACGGCCACAAAAGACAAAAGACCCACCCAAAGGGGCACTGACTTCCTCCTCACCTGCCTGGGGGGCCCAAGGCATCTTCCTCTTCCTCGCAGCCTCCTCCTCCATCCGCCCAAGCTTTGGGAAGCAGAAATCCTGATGGGGGGGAAAACAAGGGGTGAGCGCGTTGCCTTGGGGGTTCCTCCTGCCCAAGTCCAGCTCTAGGACTCACCGGGCATCCTGTGTCCATAAAAACCC